GAAGGTCGCCGCGCACAAAGCTAGTAATCTCATGGATCCGCTGAGCCCAACTGTCCGCGCTGGAGGAGGAGAGGGTGAAGGTGCTCTTCTACACACTGATCAGCTGGCCGGTAACTGAGCTATAATACTCAAGAAGGTGCATAAGCTCGATCAGCCCATCATCATCTGCCCGAGTGAAGATGATGATGTCATCCGCATAAAAAAGGTGTGAAATGGGAGGACCATAGCCACGGGTGCTGTATGTCATCCGTGGATAGTCGTGAATGAAGCCGTCAAGGCAGCGAGAGAGGTAGTCCGCCGCAAGAACAAAAAGGGATGGGGAAAGGGGGTCACCCTATGTAAGGCCCCTAGATGAGGGAAAGAAGTTGGTGGGGCTACTATTAACCAGGAACGAGAACGTGCAGTGCTCCACACACGCCTCTACAAAACTGATCCACCGCTCAGGAAATCCCATCCTAGCCAGTGCCTCCCTAAGAAACGACCACTCTACCCTATCATACGCCTTAGCCATGTCTAGCTTCAGCGCAACGTTCGGTGCCCGCTTCCAATCCGCATGGGAGATATCGTGGATCATCTCATGGGCCAAAAGTATGTTATCATTAATGACCCGATCCTTGACGAAACCACTCTGGTACGAAGAGATGAGGGAGGGGAGAAGAGGGAAAATGCGGCTGTTAAGAATCTTTAAAATGAGATTGTTGGTCACGTTACACAGGCTGATGGGCCTGTAGTCGGACCAAGAACTCGGATTGGGTCTTTTGGGAATCAAGACGATAGAGGTAGACGTGAAGGAATCTGGCATCTGGTGACCGGAGAAGAAATCCAACATTGCCTCCTCAACATCAGGCTCGACAATATCCCAACAGACCTAATAGAAGAGAAAAGAGAACCCATCGGGGCCAGAAACGCTGTTGGGATCAATCCCGAAGACAGCATCCCTAACCTACTCCCTACTCGGGAGCTGACAGAGGCCGACAAGGTCGACCGAAGGAGGGATGGTGTCGAAGAAAGAAGCGATCGGGGCATCGAGGGCCCCTCTATCAGAGGTGAAGAGGCTCTGGAAGTGGGCAACAGCCGACTCCCGAATCTAAGACTCCTGGGTCAAGGACGACCCATCAGCCTCAGTACTGTGGATGTACGACTTAGCACGCTTCTGCCTAATGAATCCCTGGAAGAACCTAGTATTCCGCTCGTCCTCGGCCACCCAGCGAACGGCCACCTTCTGCTTCCAGAAATCCTCCTCTATAAGAAGTCGGAGCTGGTACTCGGCATGGCAGCGGCGCATCGCAGTCCTATTCTCTAGAGTGGGATCCAGATCATAGGCCCTCTCAGCCTCAGCGTGCGCACTCTGAGCCGCATAAAGGCGCTGATGGAGGTTTCCAAAAACATCTCAGTTCCACTGTCTCAACCTACGCCGCAGTCTGCCGAGCTTCGCCTCGAGATTGCGCATCCCGAAGAGCCCAGTCGGCTGAAGCCAGGAGTCCCTGACAGTGTCATGGAAGGAGTGGTGGCGAACCCACATGTTCTGGAACCTAAAAGAAGCTCGGCGGGGGGTGCTAAAAAATCGACACCTAATGAGGAGGGGTGAATGTTCAGACCCAAATCGAGTGAGGTGTGTGACGTCCGTGACCGAAAACACCTTCGCCCACGCCTCAGAAACCAAAGCGCGGTAGAGCCTCTCTTTGAGGTTGTCCCTAACCCACGTAAAGGGCTCACCCTCACATCCAACATCAATCAACTCACAGTCCGCCACAGCCTGAGCAAAATCCACATCTCCCGGGAACGATCCGAACGACCACCCATACGCTCATCAGAATGCAGAAAGATGTTGAAATCGCCATTAACCATCCATGGCAATCCCTCCATACTCTCAGCAATCTCACGCAGGGTGTCCCAAAGGTCATATCTCCCGAACCTATTACACTTGGCATAAACCAAGGTATGGAATATGGGTTCGGGAAGGTGTGCCGCAGAAAGCTCAACATGAAGCACCTAATCGGTATCCCGGAGGACCCAACAGGTATAATTACACGAGTGGAAGAACCAGATCTTATGCGAAGTGTTACCCACGCCTGAGTGGAAACCGAGGCGGCGTGAGTAGTAGTCAAAATCAGGGGTGCGGATCATCGGCTCTATAAAGCCAACAAAGTCAAGTCTATGGTCATGAATGAGATGGAGATGAGGAGATGGAGATGAGCGAGAGTGGCCCTATTAGCCAGGCCCCGGCCATTCCACGTAATGTATGTGATAGACATATCAACAGTCCTGAGAGCCACCGGACGTGGTCCACCTGTGGCGATGCTGGGTCGAGCCACCTGAAGGAGGGGGGAGGTGGCGAAAGGATGGAAGGGCAGGGGAAATTGTCCGTCGTGTCACGCGTGGTGTGGGTCTGGTCTTCGAGAGGGGACGCCCTTGGTAGGTGCTCGTAGCCTGTGAGTCATCTGGCTGAGCAATCGGACCCAGAGCGGCACTAGAGACCTGCCCCATCTCCGGGGCAGCCTCATGTCTGTCGAAATGGACGAAAGCGCTAGAGGCAAAACTCTCGCACGAGACGTCATTCTGAGCGTGGTTAAGACCGCATGTCTGCTCAGGGAGGGGAGGGAGCGAGGCTCCAACCGGCGGAGCACTCGGGTGCTCGTCGAGAGAGTGTGGCTGGTGACTAACTATATGCTCACCCGAGCTCCCAATCTCAGCAGAGTGGGGATGTGCCAGGTCATTCCCTTTCAAGAGAGCGGTGACAGGAGCAGTACTCATCTCCAGCGAGCGATCCTGGCTAGATGAATGGACGAACAAAGGAACAACATCACGGGTTGCTGTCATCAGATAGATGAACGGACGTACCACTAGTCGAGGTATCCAGCTGCTCCAAAACCTCAGCAAGAAGGTCATCATCATCTAAAGGAGGAAGATCTAAAAACCTATGAGGATCACTGGTAGAGGGTTCAGTCTCATCCTCTGCCTCAGGGGAGAGGACAACAAAGAACGAATGATTGGCCTTAAAGGCCGACTGCAAGGTGTCTCTGGGGATGAAGCCCGAGGCCTTGGCCTTGGGCCATACTGTAACCAACTGTTTAGGCTGGTTAGGATGAGCATCCTTCCCAGTTTGGGTAGTGGCGACCATCACAGCCTTGCCCTTATCCTTGACCCTCTTTGGGGATCCGGGCGCATGGAGAGGGCCTTTTCCCTTTCCCTTCGGGTCCCTCCAGCCATTGGAGGGTCCTGGCTGAGTCGCACGATGACGCGGAGGCAGAGTGGGTCGTGGCTTATTGCCACTAATGTAGCAATCAGCCGATTTCTGATGGTGCTAGGTTAGTTGTCTGATTGTCCTAGGTTAGTTGTCTGATTGTGCTAGGTTAGTTGTCTGATGGTGCTATGTCAGTAGTTGCTAGGTTAGTTGTCTGATGGTGCTAGGTTAGTTGTCTGATTCTGCTAGTTTAGTTGGCTGATGGTGGTAGGTTAGTTCATTGTAGTTGCAACTACGTGATGAAAATTTGCAGGGTCACATAACAAAACTTTGAAAGGCCATAACTTTGCGTAGAAATCTCTGTTTTGGACGATTTGTTTTTTGATTTGGGGTAGCTCGACGAGATCTACGCAGTTGCAAATTGCCTAAGGCGGTTTGGTTGCTTTAATTTTAAAATAAATGCCTTTTTCTTGCTTTAATTTAATTTTTAAGAAAAAAATACGTTTTTTTGTATTTTTAAACCTCTATATGTCCTCAATGGAGACTCATTTTTCGAAGTTTTTTTTTTTTTTT